ATTGGCTGTTGACACCCATCCATACACTGGGCCACAGCCCACAGACCGGACCTCAACGTGACCTCTCGGGCGCCGTCCGCCGGCTTCGCTTGGTTGCAATGGTCTAGTCACGAGCCACTGAGCCAGCATACTTGATCCCAGGAGGAGCCCGGCTGATTCTTCCCTGCTCGGCATTCTCTCGTCCGGGACCGGAGCCGACCGCAAATACTTTGCGCATCGAAGATGTCCGCAGCACCAGAAATATCCTCCCCTGTCCTGCCCGCCCTCTGTTCTGTCAGCGCGCGCACGTACGAAACGAGCGGGGGGCTGATCAACGACCTCATTTCTTTTCCCGCCCCCATCGGTCACTCCGCATGTCCTCTTCGTCGGGGCCCGGCGAGCGGGAATACGCCATTGCTTCTGCTTCTCATTGACATCTGCCAGACCCCGGCTGCCCTGCCTTCATGCAAGAGCAAGCCTCACGCGGCGACCTTCCAGAACAGCACCGGGCTTCTTCATTCGCAGGCAGCTGTGCCGCCCACCTGCCTCTCCCGTCCTTCGAGAAGCATTCTAGCGCTGGCCCGTGCGCCCCCTAGCGTCGCATCTCCCGCGCACGCCGCCGAGCGGGGCTCGAGTTTCTCTGCCGCCCGTCCACCCGCACTGCCCGCCCCCCAAGACAGGACCAGACCAAGCTGGAGAAGCACAAGCCAACATCTGGCTTGAAGGTGCACCAAGTACCCAAGCTCGCTTTTCCACCCCACGCCGGGGCGATATGACGAAAAGAGACGCCAGGATCCTCTGGCATTGATGCCTGCAAGATTGCATCACCTGCCGTGAAGGGTAGAGCCGTCGCGTGGGGGGAGACTTGCATGCAAATGTCCCGTCGCCCGTCACCGCCCATTCGTTGTACATCCAGAATCTGTGACGCAAATGTGCAGCAGACAGGTCGAACTAGCAGCCCGGCAGAAGAGTGCCCTAGCAAAGCGCCTCGCCCCAATGCCGGTGTGTGTCTTTTTCATCCGCCCAAGCAACAGGCTCGAAACCGAGACGAGGGCACCCCGAGCTATCCTCTCGAACCGCGGCCACGGCGCTGTTCAGGCCTGGTCGATAACGCTGATCCCACGGCGCCCGTGTGCCCGGACGCCTCAGAGGCCATAGTTCCAGGCAACCCCTCTGCCCCTGACTCGGCGGTGCAGCAAGCCGGGCTGCCCCGAGCACTTCAGTCCAGACGCCGGCGACGCTGATTCGCCTTCCGTCTGCGGACCTGTCCGGCGCCATCGCGACAGGTAGAGATGCCACCCCTCCTGCAGATGCCCCTGCGTCGTCGCCAGGTTTCGATCGGCCGGCGGGCTTATCATCTCGGACTAGGGACGTTTGAGGATCGGATTGCATGCCAGTAGGCACAGCGACGACGGCCGTTGCCGTTGCCGTTGCTGCAAGTATCTAGCGCGGGGAGCACTCGGAAAAGGAGGCGAGTCATGGTGATGAAAGGCGTTGACTCGAGGTGGCTTGAAGAAGACCTGGAGGGGTCCTAACCCAGTTGTAGGGACCGATTCGACCAGGGGTGATGAGGGGAAAGCAATTGTCGGCACTCATCCACGGACATATTCGGCACTCATGATGTCTCTTTTTAATCTCTCTGCTTCTTCGCTGCACCAGATGAGCTTGGCTTATCCCGGAACCCATGCTGCATTGCATCAAGACGGGTTGTCCCAGTGCAGTCTCGACAAACTGACACCACTTGCCCTGTACATGCCGAAGACTGGACAACTCCGCTGCTGACGGCATCCCCGCTACAGTCCATGCGTACGCACTCTTCTAATGAGAGAAGTATGTCACATCAAGCAGCAGTATCTGGGCGGAGTAGAGGCAGAAGCGACAGGGAAGCTACCTTGTCGGAGACTGTTGCCGACGGAATGTCTGCGGCACTACGGGCGTTTCTACCTGGTACCTACTTTCCAGCAGGGTTCTCACACCAGCCCTCGACAGGATAGATCCCACAAACTCAGCCAGTCCACTTACACATCCGGTTCATTGATACATCAGGTCCATCAGCGCAGCAGGTCCATCAGCATAGCAGATCAAATGAAGACCTATACCTTGAGAGCATGCAGGCTGAACACAGATTAGACCTCCATCTTTCTATTCACTTCGAGTAATATGTCCCTTGCAACCAGATACGCGATTCGCAAAAAGAACACACGGGCATGTCAACCCTGAATCCTGACAGCACAACGCATGGCCCGGGCTGGCTTCACGCCACGGCCTCCGTCTCGACTACCGGCCCAGCCTTCTCGTTCTTGGTAGCATCCTCCAGCTCCCGCCGACTGCACCGCGCGGCGTACTTCGTCCTGCACTCCTCAGGCCAGAATGAGTCGCAGCGGCAGCTCTTGCCCCATGTCTCAAGCAGCAACACCCAGATAACGAGCCCCAGCGTCGTGGAGATCAGCTGGAGCGAGTTCAGCCGGTCACCGGCCAGGGGCAGCAAGAAGAGAACCAGGCAAACCACAGCGCGGTTCACGAGGCGCCAGCGCTTAGGAATGCGCATGTCGGGCGGCGTCTTGTGGTCGTGTGAAAAGGCAATGGCGCCCATAAAGAGCAGCGCGATGGCCAGGCCATGGCAATAGAAGAGGCGGATGCCAGCCGACACTTCGGGCTCGGAGCGCAACTCGTAGTGATGGGTCAGGTCGTGCGGGTCGGCATCCGGCAGGTCCGTAGCAACGACAAGCTTGGAGAGCGAGGCGGCTGCCAGGATGTATGCCATGATGAAGGGGAGGTGTGCCTGACCCCAGAGCACGGCTGGACGCGTCAACATCATCGCTGCCGGAGATGAGAGGGATGTGACTTACCTGACCAGGTGCTGCGCCTGATGGCGTGCACGTGAAGGTTGGCGCCGTCGACATCAAAGTACAACCAGTTGAAGATGAAAGCCTGGCAGAGGCCGAGGATTGACTTGCCGAGGAAAGCGTTGAGTCCGAACTCTGCATAGTTCTGGAACAGCACGCTGATGACTGAGTATCCAAAGACGAGGGCGACAAAGGCATTCATGCGCTCGACGCGGTGCTCGATGTTCATGGCGGGGAAGAAGTCAAACCAGTGGGCCAGACGGCGGCCGATGCGTGTGTCGCCGTGGCCCCACGAGTACCGGAAGAGGAAGAGCACTACGCCATGACCGTAGAGGTCCATGGCAAGGGCGGGAAACACAAGGGCAAGGCGGACGGGCATCGACACATGAATGCTGGCGATCCACAGGGCTGACGGTAGGATGAGCACGAGAATATGGGAAGCCATGACGCCACGGACGAGCGGCAGCAGCGCGCCGGTCAGCGCGCAGTAGCAGGCCTCGAAGAGCGTGGCGGCGAGGTAGAAGGCGACCATCATGGTGTAGGTGTTGTGGGCGGGGTCGGGGGCGAAGCTCTGGATCATATTTGTCGTGAGACCGAGCAGGCAGGTGAACAGGAAGAGGATCTCGAGTCGTTGCATGACATCGTCGGTATTGAACCAGCTGATCAATTGGGTGACGTCGGTCCACACCTTCCAGGACATGCAGAAGCAAACGACGAAACGGAGAAGCTCGAGGCCGTTGGCACCTTCGGCGACCTGTGGGTAAAGGGAGTCAGGGACGGGTATCTTCCGTAAGGGGGCGCAGATCACGAGAGAGAGCAAGGGCTTACATGTTCGCCATTGACGTGGATAATGCCGACTTCAGTGTATCAGTAGGTGTTCGTTCCTATTGGCAACGGCAAGACATCTCACCATAAAGCAGGTCGAAGAAGAGCTCAAAGCTCATGGTTTGGGCCTCCTCGCTAGCGCGCCAGATGAGACCCTTGTGGAAGTACTGTTTGATGACGGGCCGTTTGAACAGCTTCATCGTTTGCCCCGAGTTGCGGTCCGCAAAGTCGACAAGGGTGCTCGCCTCGGACGACCCATCGCCGGAGCCGCTACGCACTGTTGCCGCGCCGCTTCCTCCACCTTCGTCGTCATCGTCGTATGTACGAAGATGGGCGGCGAAGCCGAACTTGCTGAAGCTGGAGCTCAGCGCGCTGGTGCGGTCGCCGAGGCGGTCGAGGGCGCGCGTCACATCGTCGAGCTGCGCCTGTACGCTCTCCCACTGATCAAAGGCCGGGCCATGGCGTTCCCGAAGGGCCTGTCGCTCCCGTTCGTGGTGGTCGCGCGAGCGCGCCAAGTAGGCGTGGTGTTCATCGGAGCCGTGCAGGATGACCTCTGCCGGGTCATCGGGAAGAGCGGCCTGGCGTTGCTTCAGGGTCGCAAGCTCATCTGGGAGGGCTACCACGACACGCGTGTCATCGGGGAGGCGGAATTGGTGCGGCTTGCGCCGACCGGGCAACGACTGCGCGCGGTGTGTTGACATGATGCTTTGGATGAGGTCGTGAGATGAGCTTGTCAACGCCCAGGAGAGGAACTTGAAGGGCACACAACCCTTATACTTCTACCTTCGCTAGGCACGCTGCAGCGGCCGCACGTGTTACTGATAACAGCCATGGCTGCTTACGCGGATTGTCGACGGCGGCCGCTGAACTTGAAGCACGCCGCCGCTGGACCTGCAGTGGAAGCTGGGGTGTCTCGGCCCGTGGAATTCCCCCAAAGTCGAAGCAATGCACCATCAGTAAGCACCCCTGGTCCTGGCCCGCTTCAGGCCCCTATCACAGCATCGATTCGCCCGGGGCGACACGGGAAATGGGATGTGGTGCCTGCTTATTTGATGGGACTTCATCATTGCCGACGGGGGAGAGCCTGGTGCCTTTTAGGCTTTGATGAGGACTTGCGGCTGAGGGGGCTGCCGGGTCCGAGTCATGTTCCCTGGACATCAATTGGATTTCGCAAAGCTCTTCGTTGTCGCCTCAAGTCGCGGGCAGGGCTCGAAGTTCTGACCTTGACATCATAAACTGACTATGGCCAACCAGATGCTTGGAGTAACAAAGAGGGGGGGAAAAAATGACCTTGAGCGACAATTTCAAAAAAGATAGTGTCCAGCTGAGCTGGACTTGTGTGTAGAGACACGACAAGGGCAGGATTTGAACCTACGCGGGCGAACCCAATAGATAGCCGAACAATTACCGTCAGACGGGGCATTCGAGTCTATCGCCTTAACCACTCGGCCACCTTGCCGGAAGATGCCAAAAAAAGAGGCTTCATCGACTCATGACTCACAGAGACGTCAGGATGAAATAATTCTGGCTCCAGTAGAGAGTCACTAGCTGTACCGTCTACATAGCTAAGAATGCACTTCTGTAGCTAAGTTTCGGGGTACTCAGTAATTTTGGCCTGGCGGCGGTCAATCCTCAACCTTAGAAAGTCTTGACGTTGCGGGAGTCAAGTCTTGCTCCTGGAGTGTTCTGTTCACAAGGAAAGGTCGCCGTGTCGGACACATCCGTGGCAAAAGTCCACCATGCGCGGAAGATCTCTTGGTAATCCAGACACTTCAGTACAATACAAGCCAGATCCATTCTTCCATATCATCGTGCTCGTGTTACAGGTCGTCCCTGCTGACCCCCTTCTTGTAGGCGGCCAGGGCTCGCTCGCGGCAAGCCTTGTGCTCGACAATGGGTGCAGGGTACCCCTTCTTCTTGGCCTGCGGCCCGGCACCGCGGCCGTATGGGTCATGGATAGCCTTGCCCTGGACGCCAGCGAGCTCCGGCACCCATTTGCGAATGTATGTGCCGTCAGGGTCGAATTTTTCGCTCTGCAGAAGCGGGTTGAAGATGCGAAAGTAGGGCTGCGGGTCGACGCCGACGCTGGCACTGAAGCCCCAGCCACCGCTGTTGGACGCAAAGTCGCCATCGATGAGGTTCTCCATGAAATGCCGCTCGCCCATGCGCCAGTCGATGAGCAAGTCCTTGGCGAGAAATGACGCCACAATCATTCGGCACCGGTTGTGCATCCAGCCCACCTCGGCCATCTGCCTCATGGCCGCGTCGACAATGGGATAACCCGTGCGGCCCTGCGTCCAGGCGTCAAAGTCCTTCTTGATGTAGGACCACTCGATGTTGGCGTACTCGGGCTTGAAAGGCTTATTCATGCTGGGAAGGTCAGACTGGCGGGCAATAACAGGGGAAATGAGACCTACCAAACGTAGGGCCAGTGTACGAGGACGTGCTTGTAAAAGTCCCTCCAGGCCACCTCACTGATCCATGTCTGGATGCCCTGGCTTCCACCGTCGAGTTTCTTGGTCTTGTTGCGGTCGCGTGCAGTGCGCACACATGTCCTGGCGCTGATGGTCCCGCTGGCCAGATGCACAGAGATGGACGAAGTGCCCGTGTCCGAGGGGAAGTTGCGCCTGTCGGCATAACCCCCAATCCTCTCCTCGCAGAACTTGTGCAGCCGGTCCCTGGCCTCGTGCTCGCCGGCGGGGAAGTAGGCGTGCGCACGCTTCTTCTGATCAGGTGTAAGAGTCTTGCCGCTGACCTCGCCCGGAATTTCGCTGGCGAAGAGCGAGGAGAAGGCTTCGCGGGCGTTGCTCGGGTTCTTGGATGGCGGTTCGAAGAGGTTCAGAAGCTCCGGGTTTCCGTGGACGTGACGCATCCAGGCCTTGTACCAGGGTGTGTAGACGGCGTACTGATTGCCGCTGCCGCTCTGGAGCTCGCCAGGAGGCACGACGCACGTGTCATGCACGACGTCAAACGAGCGCCCCTCCGCAGCCAGCTGGCGCACCAGCTTTGCCTCCCGCCGTAGTTCATCGACCTCGTACTCCATGTTGGCAAACAAGTGACTGGCTCCCCATTCTTCCATCAGCTCCCCAATCTTTCTGGGCACGGTTTTCCTGTCATCTACCGTCTCCACATGCAGTGGGATGTCGAGTTTGTCCAGGTCTTTGCGCAAAACCTCGAGGGTGCGCAGGGTAAAGTCGACGCGGATCGGCGCCGTGAGGTGAGCCTCGAAATCCTGCGGGCTGACAATATACATGGTGATAAGGGGAACGCCTGCCTCTTGTGCCTTTTCGCTGGCAAGTCGCAGGGCTCTGTTGTCGTTCACTCGCAGGTCCATCTTGAACCAGTGCACGACTGCGCCCTGGACCTTGACCTCCTCGCGGGCGGAGTTCGTGTCGGAGAGGGCATCGTCCATCACCTCGATTGGCCGGGGGAGCTCGTTGTCGCGATAGGCGCGGGCGCGATCGTTGCTCATCTCATGAGGGTAGAATTTTCGCAGAACAATGCCGTTCTCTTCGGCCTCTTGGTGGAAGGGATGGGGCTCGCGGAGAGGGTCTCTTGGTCTCTTACGCTGACCATTGGTCTGGGCCGAGCTCTGTCGCTTCTGGCCGCGCTTGTCACCTCCCGTAGCGAGAGGCATCCTTGCGGCGGTGATAGTGAGGGTCCTGGAGAGGTGCTTGACGAGGTGAAGGCCGTTGGTGGTGGTGGTGTAGAGGCAACACAGAGACATGGGAGATGGTCATGGGACGGTGAAGGTAAAAAACTCCATTGCTTCTCCTGCCCAAGGGCTAAAAAGCTAGATGGGCAGCTACCTACCGCGTGTGAGACGCGTTCCTCCAGGGCCACCTGCAGCGCCGATGGTCGTGGGCGTCATCGGCTCACAGCGATCGGACGCGGCGCCGGTTGAGATCGATGCAGGGCAGTTGCTGTGTTTGAGCTTATTTAGTGGGGGTTGATGACATAAGGTCACGTGGTGATAAAGATTTGGGCACGATAACGGTTGCCGTCTTGGAGGCAGGCAGGCAGGCAGTCTTCCTTCCTTCCTTTGCGACGCAACGGCAAAATTCAACCACAACAAGCGATTCAACTTGTCGACGAGATCAAAATGGATCCCAGCAGAAGATCGATGCTACAGGGCCACGGCCGTAGCTCCCCGCAGCGTGACATTACGGCGCCGCGCCGCGACAACAACAATCGCATATCCAAGCCCGCTCCGAAACCTCGACAGGGCAACTCGTACATGACACAAGACGAGCAGGCGCGGCAGTTTGTGGCAGATGAGGATAAGTTTGTTCTCAAGCAGTCGAAGAAAAAGGCCGACATTCGTGTCCGCGAAGGGCGCGCGAAGCCCATCGACCAGCTCGCCTTCAATCTCCGCTTCATCGACACGGACCGCGATGTTTTCGACGATGATGACGCCTCCGACTCGGTATCAGTACCCTCACCCGAAGACGTTCTTTCCAGCCTCGACGAGACCCAGCTGCGAGAGCTGGAGACCGAAATTACATCCTACCATACCCTTGAGTCCAGCTCACGAAACCGCGACTATTGGCAGTCGCTCAAGATCATATGCGTCGACAGACAACAGAAGCTGCGGCCAACCGGCTCGGACGGTCGCGTTGTGAGCTCAGTGGCCGCTGACGTGGACAAGATATTGAGCCCCAAGACATATGAGCAGCTTGAGGCGTTGGAGAAGCAGGTCAAGGCCAAGTTGTCATCCGACGAGGACATCGACACGGACTACTGGGGTCAGTTGCTGAAAAGCCTGCTCGTCTGGAAGGCCAAGGCCAAGCTGCGCAAGATCTGCGACGCCATCAGGGAGGCCCGTGGCGACACTCGGCCCGCCAGCGGCACAAAGACACAGCCGGTACCTCGCGGTGCCGCCCCCTCGCAACAAGCGGTGGCCCGATCCGCGGCGGCAGCGGCCGCGCCGTCGACGGGCGCGCCACCCGGCACGTCGCGCTTTGCTCAGGTGGACCAAGAGGACTTTTCGCAGGCTACCAAGGCGCTGTACGAGCGCGAAGTAGCGCGCGGCGTGGGCGAGGATGAGGAGGTCTTTGCGGGCGAGGAGATGGTGGTGACAACGTCGACGCCGCAGTGGGCCGACAAGTACCGGCCGCGCAAGCCGCGCTACTTCAACCGCGTGCAGATGGGGTACGAGTGGAACAAGTACAACCAGACGCACTACGATCACGACAACCCGCCACCAAAGGTCGTCCAGGGGTATAAGTTTAACATCTTCTACCCGGAGCTCATTGACAAGACCAAGGCGCCGACCTTCAAGATCGTACGCGAGCACGGCCGCAAGAAGGGCGAGTCGTTCGCCCCTGCAGGCGAGGAGGATACATGTCTTCTGCGCTTCATCGCTGGCCCCCCATACGAGGACATTGCCTTCCGCATCGTCGACCGCGAGTGGGACTACAGCGCGAAGAAGGACCGGGGCTTCAAGAGCTCTTTTGATAAGGTGAGCGAGCGCGTCACTCCCCAAAGCCTGCCCTGCCCTGTCTTCATCCCCGTCTCCTTCCCTTTCCCCTTTCCCCGAGGACCCGAGGGCCCATCTTCTCCCCTTTTTCATTGTCCATCGCCCGCCGTGGCGCCTCCTTGCATCCCTGGCTGGGCCAAACGCCAACCGCGCGTCTCTGCACCGACAGGGGCTCGTCACAGCGTGACATCGGACCTGTTTCTAATATTACTCTCTTCTTACAGGGCATCCTCCAGCTGCACTTCCAGTTCAAAAAGGTAACCCGTCCACCCAGCCTCGACCGTGCCAAGCTGACCGCCCGCAGATCTACTACCGGAAGTAGGCCCCGAGGACAACGTGTGGGACGAGCGAGAAAAAGGGAGAGGCAAGAGACGAAGGGAGCGAACATCGCCCCCTGCTTGGGATCGTGGGCGCCTCGTCTGGCATCGCCCGTTCCCGATTAGATTGATCCAACAGGCACCACAATACACAATCAGTTGGTACCAACACGGTGCGCGACGTGGCCGACAGTGACCAACTTTCTCTCTCACTCTTACTCTTCCAGGTTGTCGCCCCCACCGTCCATCGCCCACCGCCCGCCCAACGCCGGTCGCCATGTCACATCGATCACCCCGACCAAAATTGATCACCCCCGTCTGTTCGGCTGGCGACAGGGGTGGCCTGAGCGTGCCCTCTCACGGTCTACCTCTTTGCATATGGGCCCGCGTATTCTAGAAGCGTTGGTGAAAGATGCACCCCCCATCCAAGCAGAGGACAGGGCTGCCCATGGCCTGTGTCCACCTGCGGTGTAAGCTGATTGGGTGACCTTTGGCGAAGAGGCATCGTGCGGTATGGGGTAGGGGAACGCGACCACCCGCCGCCGCTCTCCGTCTCTCCCGCAGGCAGGGCAGACCGCCCCCAGGATAAGCAGGGGGATGAGGGGGGCCAACTTGGACCCCAGCTTGGCCTCACCCCCCCGTGTCTGTCGGCCATCTTCCCAC